GAAAGGTCACAGCCTTGAATACTCTATGGAGCAGTTCTACTCTGTGCACGCGGGGTCTCCATGAGTCAAAATCAACTGCACAGCAACTAACAACAGTAAAGCAGAGGGGAGTTGTTGACTAACTAAAAGTGGGTTGGAGGTTCCAGTCCTGTCCACCCAGAGGTGCCTCAGAAGAAAAGCTTAGCGATCTGCTTTTCAAAATACCAGCCATTGAAAACCTTATGGAGCACAGTTCTACTCTGATACACATGGAATCGCCTTGAGTTGGAGTTGACTAGATGGCAACTGTTTTCTTTAACCTGAGATTTCAGAGATAAGTTGAAGCTCTGGTGTGGCTTAACTCAGGTGCTTACTACTGATGTCATCATGCACTCAGTTTCTTTTTGTCTCCCAATTCTCAGAAGACTGCCTGTCTCCCCTGTGATGACAACCCCCAGAGCCAATTGCTCCTCTTTCCTCACTCAGAGGGAGAGAGGGCCTTGCTTCCAGAAAGCTCTCTAAGATCAGAATATTTTTTCCCCAGAACCTCCAAAAACCATTCTTGCATTCTCATTGGCTAGAACTTGGTCACTCACCTGTTCCTGAGCCAGTCACCCTGGCTAATTAAGTTAGGGCCAGGCCACATGCTATGACTGAAATTTGGGTAGTTACCAAGAAAAGGGTGTGAGTAGCACAATGTCCTCCAAGGGGGCTTTCATGATCAGCCAAATGAAAAATGGGAGGTGATTATGCTTGGATTAAAAAGTAAACAAACAAAAATAAACCAGTTGCCATGGAGTTGACTCTGACTCGTGGTGACCCCATGTATGTCAGAATAGATGTGTGCTCCTAGGGTCTTCAATGGCTGATTTTTCAGAAGTGGATCACCAGGCCTTTCTTCCGAGGCACCTCTGGGTGGACTCGATCACCAAACTTTTGGTCAGCAGCCAAATGTGTTAGCTGTTCGCACCACCCAGGCACAGTGGAAATTGGATAGAAAAGAGAGAGTGAATGTCCTAGATCCTGTATTGGTAGGCTCTAAAGGGCTGGACACAGTTTAGGGGGTGGATAGGTAGAGGGGAGTGTAGAGTGGGGTGCAGCTAAGGGAGAAGGAAGAGCTCATCATCATTCTAAGGTTTGGGATAAGATTCCTTAGTGATGGAGAGGATGATTGTGGTACCACAAGCAAAGCTGGAGCAGTCAAGAAAAAGAACAGGTTTGAGAGAAAAGATAATGAGTTCAGGATCGCCCATGTTGAAATTGAGGTGGTTGTGGGTCATCCAGGTGGAGATGAGCACCTGAGATTGTGTATTTGAGCCTAGACTTAGAGGAGAGGTCAGGGCCAGAGATAAGCAGAGTCCTCAGCATAGAGGTCACAGTGGGAACACAGGTGACTGGGGAGAGAGAGGGTGTGGTGGGAGCAGAGATAACTCCAGGATATGGGAGAGAGTTGAACAGCAGGAGCAAAAACTGTCTGTCTCCTCTGCTCTCAAAAAACTTCACAGAAGATTCTCATCATCTCAGTGATATTCCATCTCTGGTGACCAGCGTGAGCCATTGTCACCAACACCACTTGCCCCACCTTAAATCCTGGTCATCAGCCTGCACATGTTTCTCTGCTAGGTCCCAAATGTTTTTTTTATTGTTTTTGTTTTTTATTTTTGAAAAAAGGACTTCTGTATGTTCTGTAAGGAAGTCTACTGATTAAATTTTTTTTTTTTTTAAACTGTGATTTGGGTGAAAATTTACAGAGCAAATTCACTTTCCATACAGTAGTTCACATACACTTTGTCTCATGACATTGACTACAATTTACCCCAATGCAACAGCTCCCCTCCCACTTCCTCCCCATAGTTACCTCTTCCCTGTGTCCATTCCTCCATGCACCCCTGCCCCCTGAGCTGTCTTCCTGTGCATAAACAGCCCTTCTTTCTCCCGTGATTGTTCTCTCCAAGGAGTGTATCTACCTCAGGTAAATGTTCAACTCATATGCCTGTCTTTTGTTTGTCTGGAAGCCACAGGTATGGGTTCAATTCCAGACCTGAAGGGTAGCTAGGGACCATAGTCTCAGTGGTTCCATCAGGCTCCCAGACCAGCAAACCTGGTCCCCCCCCCCTTTTTTTTTTTCTCCAAATGATTTTGAGTTTTGTTTCACGTTATTCTCCTTCTCTATTCAGGATCTCCTACATAGATCCCCCTCCAAGTGGTTGACAGTGGTAGCTGGGCACCGTCTAGTCCTTCTGGTCTCATAGTCGTAGAGGCTGCAGATTGCATGGTGTACCAGTTGCTAGGACTAACTGTTTCCATGAATCTTTAGTTTTCTTCATTCTTCTTTGCTCTGGGCGAGGAGAGACCCATTGTTGCATCTAGATGGCTGCTTGCAAGCTTTTAAGATCCCAGTCGCTACTCACCAAAGTAGGAGGTAGAACAATGTTTTTTGTAGTATGTTATGCCAATTGTGCTTGATGTCCCCTGTGACTATGGTCCCTAGCCCACTGGTTCAACTACTTGGTCCCTCTGGGTAGCTGGCTGTGTAGGTCCCAAATGCTTTGGAGATTCACTTGTGTAGAGGACATAGCCCCTGCTGTTGCTTTCAGTAAGAGTGCAGCCTTCTTTCATTCGTCGGATATTTACTGAGCCCTATATGGGAGTTCTGGTGACACAGTGGTTAAAGACATTCAGCTGCTAAGCAAAAGGTCAGCAGTTTGAACTCACCAGCCACTCCATGGGAGAAAGATGTGGGAGTCTATTTCTGTAAAGATTTACAGCCTTGGAAACCCTATGGGGCAGTTTTACTCTGTCCTATAGGGTTACTATGAGTTGGAATCGGCTTAATGGCAGTGGATTTGGTTTTTTGGTATGTATTGGGTCAGGTGCTAGGCTGGATGTGGGAACTCAATAGAGAATACAGTCAGGACCCTCTTCTTGAACTGAGACCTGTGTTCACCATAAGTGGGGACCATATCTTTCTCTGTCCTTGGTATTGACTCTCTAGCTACCAGCACAAGCCCTGTTACCAGGAGTGTGGACACTGGATGCCACATCCTTGTTTTGCAACATTTCCGTGATATATATCCCAACAAACCTTCTCCTTAGACTCTTTTGCCTTGTGAGGCAGGAGTCTGCTCTGACTCCCATTTCCTTCATTTCCTAGCACACTATGTTCCTTTGCTCTCATGTTCTGGGCTACCTTAGCACCCATCAATATCCACAGTGCCTTATCTAGGACCCCTTCCCTGTCTTGTATATGAGCTGCTATTGAAAGAATTAGAGGGTCATCTTCTTCTTTCAGTCATGTCTGTGAGTAAATGATTGAATTGGAAGGAGAGAAGTAGGTCCCTCAATTTAAGGACTTTTTCTTTCTCCAAATTCTTATAGCATTTACCTTTTGTGCTGCTTTTTGGTTGACCAGGCACTGATCTGTGGACTTCTGGGTTAAAAATAATAACCGTTGATTATCGAAGACTCACTTTATGCCAGGTGCTGTGCCCTGCCTTTGATGTGCCGTATCTCATTTAGTCCCCAGAAATGAAGTAGCTTCTATTTTTAGAATACATGTTATGGATACAGAAATAATGGTTTAGAAAGACTGACTGCCTTGCCCAAGGCAGCATCAGGATTGGACCACACTTGTCCCACATTAGGATCCAAGTTCCTAACCAATACCTTGTTGTTGTTATTGTTAAGTGCTGTTGAGTCAGCTCCGACCCTTAGAGACCCCATGTACAACAGAACAAAGCTGCCCGGTCCTGTGCCAGCCCCACAATCCTTGCTATACCTGAGCCTATCATTGCAGCCACTGTGTCAATCCATTTTGTTGAGGGTCTTCCCCTTTTTTGTTGACCCTCCACTTTACCGAGCCTGATATCCTTCTCCAGGGAAGAATAACAAAAACAAAAGCGTTTGTAAAACCTATGTGTATAGTTCAAGGAACAATTATAAAGTGAACCCCCATGTGACAACCGCATTGTCAGTGGCTTTGCAGCCCCCTGGAGACCCCAACCAATCATAGTCCCTTCCCTTTCTGAGAGATAACTATCTCTAGGATAATAGTGTGTGATAATTACTCCTTTACTTTTCTGTATAACTTTTCCACTCATGTGTTTGTGCTTAGACACTATGAGTTTGTTTTGCCTGTTTGTGAACTTTATACAAACGGATTTGTGTTACGTGGACTCTGGTTTATCTGCTGCTTTTGACCTACATTATCTTGGTGAGATTCCTCCATGCTGATGCATGTAGTGGTAGATGGTTCATTTTTACTGTGACTGCAGCCTCCTTTGTGGGATCTGCATCTTACGCTTATTTCTATCCTTAGACCGGGCAAGGAATCTGTGGGTGGCACAAAAGGTTAAACAATCAACTACTAGCTAAAAGTTTGGCAGTTTGAATCTACCTACAGGCACCTCAGGAAACAGTCTGGCAATCTGTTTTGGGAAGGTCACAGCCTTGAAAACTCTTGTGGAGCACAGTTCTACTCTGACAGACACAGGGTCACCATGAGTTGAAATCAGTTCAGTGGCAAATAATAAGAGTGCTTCACCCATTTACCCTAAAGTAAAGATGAAGAAGTTTGGGAGGCAGGGAAGCAAGAATAAGGGAAACAAAACAACCAGAGTAGAAATAATGAGAATGTTGACACAATGTGGAAAATGTAACCAGTGTCATTAAACACTATGTGTAGAAATTGTTAAATGGGAATCTAATTTGCTGTGTAAACATTCACCAAAAACTCAATAATTTTTTTTTTAAAAAGACTGCCTAGCATAAAGCTGAAAATGTTATAGTTGCTCAGAAAGTATTTGTTGATTACATTGGGAGAAGAGACCCCCAAGTAGCATGTTTGAGGACATGGTTGAGAGCAAGCAGGAAGAAGTGTTGGACTTGGGCTGGCCTGCCCCATAGGAGTCCTGTCTCCATATTTCTCTCTTCTCAGTCTCTGCCTGTCAGTTTCCCTCATGGGCAGTCTGTATTTCCATCTCTTTCTCAAATGAATTTCCATTTTTGTATCCCTTTTGCAGAATGCCAAACTGGGGAGGAGGCAAGAAATGTGGAGTATGCCAGAAGACAGTTTACTTTGCTGAAGAGGTTCAGTGTGAAGGCAATAGCTTCCACAAGTCCTGCTTCCTGTGCAGTGAGTATGAGCCCTAGGCCCTGCTGTTGCCATAGGGATGAGGACCCAGCCTGCCCCCACAGGCTGGGCCTGTCAACACCCCAGGGAACTGGTCCCAAGGGATGTAAACAACTTGACATTTGGCTGCAGCGCAGCTGGGAAGGGAAACACTTAAGGGCCTCTTTGTTCTGTTCAGAAGCTGCTTTCCTACTCTCTTGGGATGGACTGACCAGAGCTGGAGGAGGGGGGTGGTGGGCACCGATGGGCTGAAAGCCAGGCTGTAAGGACTTGATTAGGAAAACTTTCCAGTCAGTTTGCTCTTCTTTTTCTCCCTGCTACAAGCCCATCATTTAAGAGGAAATCACTTTCAGCCCAAAGTTTCACCAGCCTTTGGACCCAAATTATCCCTTGTTAAAAGGCAACAAAGGCCACAGCCCTCTGGTGAAGCTGAGCTTACGGGAAGATCTAGGCCCTTCCTGCTTCAGCCCCTTCTAGCCAGCCCATTGCTCTCTCAGTTCCTATTCCTGCTCTGCCTGGGATGAGAGAGAGGAAGGAGTGCAAAGCTCGTTGACATCATGCCTAATGACCCAGGGCAAGATTTGCACCAGTCATCAGCCATAAAGAGAAATGACATTCTGATACAGGCTACGACATGGATGAACCTTGAAAACATTATATAGCAGGAAAGAAGCCAGACACAAAAAGACAAATATTGTGTGAGTCCACCTATATGAAATGTCTAGAATAGGTAACTCCATAGAGACAGGAAGTAGATTAGCAGTTAGTTACCAGGGGCTGGGTGTGGGGAGGGATGGGTAGTTATTGCTTAAGTGACACCGAGTTTCTATTAAGGGTGATGAAAATTTTTTGGAAATAGATAGTGGTGATGTTTTCACAACATGGTGACTGTAATTAATGTCACTAAATTGTACATTTGAAAATGATTAAAATGGTAAATATTTTGATACTTAAAGAAAAGATTTGCTTCAATCATAAGCATGGACGAGTAGGAAACCAGCAAAAGATGTCAAGCAGCTGGAAGTGGTCAGGTTGACCAGGATCCCAGCCCCATGATGCTGCACTGACAGGTGGCCTGGACCAGTGGGGAAATGATGCTTTCAGAGCACCCAGGAAGTATAGACTCAGGAAAGCTTCTCCCCAGATTCCTAAGTGATTTCCTTTCTTGTGACCATAGCAGAACGTGTGCATTAGAAAAAGAGGCTACTACAGCACGGTGCATTTCCTTGAGGGCAGGCAATGAGTGGGAGGCAGTAGGGTGTCTTAGTTAGGCACCAGGTTGTGGAACCAGTCAGATCAGGGTTTCATTAGCTCAGTGTGAATGGGTAAATGACTCAAGCTTTCTCTGGTTGAGTTTGCTCATTATTACAGTGGACTGAATACTTACCTCATGGGGTTGTGAGAATTGAAATGAGCTTGTAAAACAAATAAAGAGCACTATGTGTTCAATAAATGGTAGACTCTGCTGCCCCTACTCCCGAACACACGCACACACACACACACACACACACGGGGCTGAAGGGTCCCAAGCAAGATGCTGTGATGCAAAGGTAACCTCACAGGGCTGAAGTCCCTGAGAGATCCAGGAAGTGGTCCTGTCTGTCTGCATCATATGAAGCAGTCGACAGAATCCTGTTTTTTTTGTTCTAGTTGATCTGTGCTCCACAGTAGGATCCAGATGGGCCAGAACCCATCCAATCACGGATGTCCACCAGATCTCTGCCTGCTACTGGTCAGATCAGCCCAAAGCCAGCAGGGGCCCCAGGCCCTGCCACGGCCCTGCCTGGAGTGACAGCCCAGAGAGCTGCCTCTGATGAAGAGGGTGTAAATGAGCTTTGTTGGAGCTTTGTTGGCTTCTAGCCTACAAAGGACACTGGAAATAGCAGCATCTTGTTATCAGCAGTTCACTCCACTTAGGAATTTCCTAGCCATTTATTTTTCAGGGTCGCTGGCCTAGCTGGGGAAGAGGGGCCAGGCTGCTGGGGACCTGAGGCCCTTTTCTTGCTCTCAAAGAATGTTGCTTAATCACTGATTAAAAGGGGCCAGCTGTGGCTGAGGAGACCTCCCACCTGCAGCCCTGCATGCGGAGGAGTTGTGTGGTTGGTCAGACAGTTGAGGGGAGTCAGAAATTCAGGGGGTGGCATAAGAAGGAAGGAACAGGGACTGGGGCAGGGTGTGAGGGGATGCGGAGGATTAGAAACACTTGTGGAAAGTGTGGAGCAAGGCTGGAAAGGGTTGTTGTGTAACAAACAATCATAAGGAATGGTCTCATGTCTCTCTGGGGTCTCCAAGCCAGCCCTGTTCCTGGATATGAGAGCTATAAGTGAACTGCTTAGGTAACTTAACTTCTGATAAGATGGCTGAATAAGCAGGCAAGCTACACAGACCCTCTTTAACAAAGAAAAGAGAAACCAATTGACACAGATACAGAAGATAATCCTGGAGCTCTGAGCTTTGAAAGGAAGGGTACAGAAGTGGATTAAACACCAACTAGTACATAGTACTCAAGGCACTTGACTGCTAACCAGAAGGCTGGCAGTTCATATCTACCAGCCACTCCTCAGAAGTAAGGTTGGGCAATCTACTTCCGTAGTGATACCGCCTCGGAAACCCAAGGAGGGGTTGCTGCTGAGTCGTGTCCAACTCGATGGCACATAACAACAACAACAGTAGAAGAACCTGGATGAAAACAGGTGTATTTGAGCCTAGACTCAGAGGAGAGGTCAGGGCCAGAGATACAGCAGAGTCCTGGGCATGGAGGTAACAGTGGGAGCTGCAGACTATCAGCTGTCCTGATGGCATGGAAAGCCTGAGTATTTCCAAGTGATGTTAGGACCTGAGAATTAACCTAAAAATCAGCCCTGCTTACCAAGGGCTGCATGGACTACTGCACGGGTAGCTGACGACTGAAAAGGGAAACAGCAAAGAAGGAGAAAACTGAGCTGTGGCCTTTCAGCTATCCAGAGGGCACAGCCATTTTGAATGTTTACAAGCAGTGGCCATTTTGGATACTTAAAGTGACACCATTCTCATTCAGATTCCAGGGACCTAAGAATGGGCTCTGCTTGCCAAAGGCAGCATGGACATACAGGAGGCTGATGACTGTAAAGGAGACATGTGGTGAGTGCGTAAGTGCTGCCAACTAGTGAATGGAGGACTGCAGTACATCCAAACAAAACAGATACATCCAAACAAAACAAAGATAATGAAAATCTTGGGCTAATCACTCCAACATACAGTCACCAATTAAACAAACACAAAAACATCACAATGTATGAGAGACAACAGAGCATCACAGTCCACACAAAGAAGCAGTAGAAACAAGGTACCAGGATACAGACCCAGAATACATCTCTGAGGAAGATGCAGCATTGAAACTCCCTGATAAGGAATTAAAAATAATTATATTTAGATACCTTCAACAGATTGAGAGGCAGATCAAGGAAAACACTGACAAAATTGAGGAAAACACAGAGAAAACCTTAGAACAATTGCAGAAGACAATACAAGAACAAAATGACAAAATAAATGAAAAATTAGAAATGATACAAAATCTACAGATAGAAATCCAGAAGATTAATACTAAATTCTCAGAAATAGATAACACATTGAACAGGCAGAGGAGTATACTTGAATCAATGGAAAAAAGAATTAGTGAGATTGAAGACAAATAACTCAATACTTCTTTGGAAAGGGATCAATCAGAATAAAGATCAAAACAAAATGAAGAAAGCCTAAGGTTCATGTAGGGGCTCTGGTGGCAAAGTACCTAAGGCATGTGACTGCTAACCAGAAGGCTGGTGGTTCAAACCCACCACCCACTCCTTGGAAGGAAGATTGGGCAATCTACTTCTGTAGAGATACCTCCTCGGAAACCAAAGGAGGGGTCACTATGAGTCGGGATCAACTTGATGGCAGTGAGAAGGTTCATGTGGGATACCATCAAAAGGAATAAGCTATGTGTAATTGGAATTCCAGAACAGGAAGAGACAAATAAAATCACAGAGAAAATTGTTGAAGATTTGCTGGGAGAGAATTTCCCTGATATGATGAAAGACAAGAATATATCCATTCAAGAAGTCCAACGAACCCCAAACAGGATAGACCCCAAAAGAAAATCACCAAGATATATATAATAAGTGAACTGCTTAGCACTGCACATGTCTCAGTGGTCTGAGGTATCTCCATGGCTTCCTTATTCCTACCGCGAAGCACACAGCATCTAGCAGGCTCTTGGCAAAGATTTGTTTGTGAATGAAAAGAGGGTTATTTTTCTTTTTTTGGTTAAGTGGTGATAAGTGTTTAGCCTGAATTCTGGATAACCCATAGAATACATGGAGTTTCCATCCTAAGGAAGGCAGAGGCTAGCAGGTGCTGGGCCCTGGTGGGGTTACGGTCTATCCCCTTGCTGGGGGTGCCTAAGTGAGTCCCCAAAAGAAGTTCCTCTGACCACTTGGGTCATTGGCTCTGGATTCTACTCCTGTTGGCACCTGCATTCCTTTTCCTGTGGCCCTGAGATACATGTATGGAATGTGGGATAATGTAGTAGACAAAGTCAGGGGAGAACTACCTTCATTCTGGGCCTGACCTTTGATATGAAAGCGTGGGTCAAGAGGGCCTGCAATACACTGTGTGGTCTCAGTAGGGGCAGCCAGTTCCCATTAGCAGGTGATGCTCAGAGGTTGATGTGAGAATTCAGCTTTGTGTGGGGGCCTGCCCCAAGGCTGTGTGCCTATCTCATGCTGTAACCAACTCCCCCCTGGGGCCCGAAAGGGTTGAGCAGCCAACCCTGGAAATGAAGAGCTGGTCTGGCCTAACCCTCTGGTGCAGGCTGGTGAAACTGGGCTGTTGGCAGAATCTAAGAGCTCAAGTGAAGCTCACAGAAGGCATACTCACCCTCTGACACTAGGGTCTCCTTACCTGCTGGCTGAAGTTTACTGTCAGTTTTCACCCTCCTTCTTGTGCACGCTTGGCCTACTTGAACCACAGGCTAGCAGAAAACAACCAGGTCTGGAAATCAGGGGCTGGGGTCTATCCTGGTTCAGTTTCTGATCTTGGGCTTTTTTTGTGGGCCTTAGTCTTCCTTCAAAAGGAGATCTAGTTGTATAGTGGTTAAGGCATTTGGCTGCTAACCAAAAAGGTCAATGGTTCATGTGGGGTGAGGGAGGTCTGACCTCTCACCTGGGGCTGCCTCTCCCCTGTGTTTCCACATAGCATTGCAAGGCCCTACAGAGCCAGGTGGCATCTGGAAGCGTGTTTGTCCAATACATACATACAACCTGGGCTTTTCTTTTGCTTAACATGATCTGGTAGAAACCTATTCACACCTTTATTAAAAATCTCCCTTGCTTGAGACTTTGGTGGAGCCCACAAGTGAGCTGGGAGTCCCTGACCACATTGCCTGGAAGGGCCAGGGTGAAGGGAGTTGAAAGTGGGCATGGTGGGCAGGCCTAGGCCTCTGGGAGAAGCAAGGCAGAGCAGATGCGTCTTATTTAAAGTACTTTATCTGAAAGTCAGGCTCAGGTGGCATGGCAGGGGAGCTGTTGGCCTACCATCAGGAGCATGTCTGCTTGTAGGCTCTAATGCCTCATCTGGGCTGAGCTGGGTCCCTTGCTGGAGAAACTAGTCAGGATGGACCCAGTTCCCCTGCGTTTATCTCTGCTGTCTGCCTTCCCTTTGGCCTTGGAACTCCCAGCTCAATTTGGGTCTTATGGGAAACAATTCCAGGCCAACTCCTGACTTCCCACCCTAGAAGGGAATGTTGTTTCCTTGGCCTGTTGTTTGTTCCTCCTTCCTGGGAGCCAAGCCTCAGGGGAGGAGGTGGGACGTTCTATATTTGGGCTGCCAGAGTGCTGGAATGAGGTAGGGATTTCGAGGGCAGAACAAGAGGGTCCTTATTTGGTCAGAAGTCTCCAACCTGGGGTTCTGGGGAAGGAGAGAAGCTGACAGATAGCTGGACCCTTTAAAGGCAAGAGGATGGCAAGCTGCACGGAGCCTTCTCAAAGTGGGGTAGGAGGCATGGCATTTCCCTCGGTTTCCCTGGGTTTCCATCTTTAGAAAGACATGTTTGAGGATGCAGTCCAGTTGGGCACACTGAATCTCAATATTTAAAGAATATCATGAAGCCAAATCACTATGACAGGATGAGACCTAATGAAATAGGGTGAAGCGGAGTCTCCTAAGAGAAGTGGTTGGGGGTTAGAAGCACATGGTCTCTTGAGGGCCGGATCATGTCACCCTCCCCCTTATCTTGGGATGGTAGTAACTATATGTGATACTAACATGAGTGGCCAATATTTATTCTGCACCTGTTGTGTGTAGGGCATCATGCTAAACACATCACATTTAAGATCTCATTTAATTCTCATGGCCACCTCTTAAAGTAGGCATTATTGCCTGCATTTATAAATTAGGACAGTGAGGCTAGAAAGGCACAGTGGCTTGCCCAGGGTCACACACCTGGAAAGGGTGAGTTGGGGTTGGATTCTGGGCAGTATGCCTCTATATGACCCTGGGTTCTGATATATGAGGCCCATGGGCCTTCTGGCTCATCTCATTCCAATATCTCTTACCCTGGTAGTAAGGAAATTGTTCTGAGTGTCTGACTCAAATTTTTTCTGTGGCAAAGTGATATCTGAGAATAGAAATTCCAAATCTTGTAGTTATCATGACCTGTATTGCATTTAAAAGCCCACCACGCTGGGTGAGATACCTATATATCAAATGATGCTTTACTGGGTATATCTCTTCCCCTTCATCCTCCGCCTCCCCCAGCAAGCACACATTGTTCCTTCTGGATTCTGTTGCTGGAGGCAGGAAAACCCTGCCCACTTCTTCCTTCCTTTCCCCCTCCCCCCTCTCCTATTAGGACATGTAATCTATTTGTCAAAGGCAGAGTGAAGGACCTCAGCCAGCTTCCGTTGGCTTGGAGTTAGCCTAGGCTGTTGCCTCCTCTGAACTTTGGAGTACACTGCACTGTTGGGGAGGTGTGAGGGTGCAGAGGACTGGGAAGACATGCACAGACTCCAGGGAATCTAGTGTTCTTGGAGTCAGAAAGGACTTACGGATCCCATCTCCTTTCCTCCATCTCATTGGCCTTCTAGGCTTCCATTTCCAGCCGCTCTTGAAAGATCAGGATATGATGTATGTAAACTGCCAGGAGAACTTCAGCTGTAGGGGACTTGCGGTAGCTAGCAGCTCACCCCACCTCAGCTCATCATACCTTTCTTCCCTTTCACAGTGATCTGTAAGAAGAATCTGGACAGCACCACTGTGGCCGTGCATGGTGAGGAGATCTACTGCAAGTCCTGCTACGGCAAGAAATATGGCCCAAAAGGCTATGGCTATGGGCAGGGTGCAGGCACACTGAGCACCGACAAGGGGGAGTCGCTGGGCATCAAGCATGAGGAGTAAGTAAAGGATCCTCTCCCACCCCTATTCTTGAGTACTCTTTTCCTCAGTGTTGGGCACATTTTCAACTACTTTTGTTTAAGCTGTAGGAGGCTCAGAGAGGCAAAATGGCTCTGACTAAGCCATTTTTTGGAAAGGTAGTATGGAGTACCAACTATGTGTCAGGCTTACTGGAGGAGCTAGAGCACAGTGGAGAATAGAATAGGCCAGGTTCCTCCTCTCATGGAACTTGATCCTGTATTTTTATAAGGGTCAGAGCTGGGAGGGGCCCCAAGAATTATTTAGTCCAGTGTTCTCTGTTTATGTGTGAGAGAATGGAGACCCTTAGCTAGTGAGGATCTGTACCAGGCCCAGGGCTCTACACTGCCACCTCTCACCCCTGCTGGGGGGTGAGGGTCATTCTCCTTCCTTGGAAATGCCATAGGGTGTCACTGGGTCTCCCTAGCACCCACTGACTTCGGCCCTTCTGCTAAATAGTGGCTGTTGGCAGTCATCCCGGATGGTTCCTGGGCCTTGGGGGGATGGACGGAAATGACAGCTGAGTTATCAACTTTTCAGCCAAGGTCACTGCCCCAGTGGGAGTGATTGGTCAGCAGATTTCTCTTGGAGATAATCTGATTATGAAACCGCTGCAGGAATGGGGGTGTGCAATAGAGGGGAATCAGCAAACGAGGTATTAAAAAATAATTCAGGGTATTTTAACTGGATGATTGATGTTTCAATGAAAACTGTACTGAGCCTTCATTTGTCATCTGTAAAAGGGGATATCTTTGAGTCCCTTATGGCCCTAGCCTTTGTCACTGTAGCTGGGAGAACAGCCCCCATGCCCTGGCATGATATGAAGGTGGTGTCATACCCATGCAGTACCAGGCCCATGCATATTTCTTAACAGAAGTCATCTCACTGTATGCTCTTCCTGTTGCAGGGCCCCTGGCCACAGGCCTACCACCAACCCCAATGCATCCAAGTTTGCCCAGAAAATTGGTGGCTCTGAGCGCTGCCCTCGGTGTGCCCAGGCTGTCTATGCTGCTGAGAAGGTGATTGGTGCTGGGAAGGTAAGGCAGCTTACTGGGCATGATGGGGAGAGAGGAGGGAGATGGGTTGGCGAGAGACCTTCCTGAGATGTGAGTTCCAGAACTGTGCAAATCCTGACCTTAGCTCTGTTCAGTGAGTTTTAACCCCTTCCCTCCTAAGTATCTGGAGTAACCTTTTGTCCCTATGCCTGCCAGTCTCCAAAGAGCTCAAGTCACTCATGGGCAGTGACATCTCAATTATATATGGGATTGATTACTAAATGCCCATGGGCAATTCATAGGAAAGGAGCCTTGGAGGCAAAATGGTTGAGCATTTGGATGCTAACTGAAAGGTCAGCAGTTCAAACCCATTAATCGTTCTGTGGTAGTAAAGCCCTGGTGATCTGTTCCTATGAAGATTTATAGCCCAGAACAACTAGGCAGTGCCCGGCTACCACTACCAATCCTTCTGATCAGGGCCACAATAGGTGGATCCTGAGAGAATGGGAGAAAAATGTGGAACAGAATTCAAATTCTTAAAAAGTCCAGACTTTTTTTTTTCAGTCCAGACTTTCTTTAAGACTGGTTGAGACTAGAGGACTCCCCGAGACTATCACCCTGAGATACCCTTAAACCAAAACTAATCCCTGAGGTTGCCTTTTAGCTCAATAAGAAATTGTCTCATAAGAAAGAATATTACCCGTGAGCACTACACTCTTTTTTTTTTTAAATTTTTATTGTGATTTGGGTGAAAATTTACAGAGCACATTCATTTTCCATACAGCAGTTCACATATACTTTGTCCACAATTTTCCACATTGCAACAGCTCTTTTCCTACTTCCTCCCTGTCATTACTTCCTCCCTGTGCCCTTCACTCCCATGCACTCCTGCCCCTTGCCAGGTGTCTCCTTATGCATACATAGCCCTTCTTTTCTCCCACGATTGATCCAAGAAGTGCATCTACCTAATGTAAATGTTTAGCTTATATGCCTGTCTTTTGTTTGGCTGGAAGCCACAGGAGTGGGTTCAATTCCAGACCTGAAGGGCAGTTAGGGGCCATAATTTCAGGGGTTCCACCAGGCTCTATCAGACCAGCAAACCTGGTCCCTTTTTTAAAATGATTTTGAATTTTGTTTCATATTGTTCTCCCACTCTATCCAGGATCTCTTACAGAGGTCCCTGTCAGAGTGGTTGACAGTGACACTACACTTTTAAAAAATCATCTATATGACACAAAAGGAGCTCTGGTAGCATAGTGCCTAAGGCACTTGACTGCTAACCAGAAGGCTAGCGGTTCAAACCCACCAGCCACTCCTCGGAAGGAAGGTTGGGCAATCTACTTCCGTAGTGATACTGCCTTGGAAACCCAAGGAGGGGTCACTATGAGTCGGGGGCGACTCGATGGCACATAACAACAACAACAACATATGACACCAAATGGTCAATAATTACTCTGAAGCAAAGCTGAGAAGGTAATGGGGCAGAGAAACTAGGTTACTGTAAATGGAACAGCTAGAAGGGAAATAATGAGAATGTTTACACTTTGTGAAAAATGTAACCAGTGTCACTGAATAACGTGTGTAGAAATTGTTAAATGGGAAACTAATTTGCTGTGGAAACTTTTACCAGAAAGACAATAAAATATTACCTTAAAAAAAAAAAAAAAAGATTTACACCCTAGGAAACCCCATGGGATAGATATCTACTGTAGCATATAGTTCACTGTGGGTCAAAATCTACTTCATGGCATCCAACAACAAGAACAATTCATAGGGGAGTTGCAAAGATGAATCTATATCTCTAGTGTTGGGGATCACAGAGGGTCCATGAATCCCCCAAAACTGTATGCAAAGTTTTATGGCAACATGTCTCTATCTGGGAAGAGGATCCATAGTGTTCATCAGATTTTCAAAAGAATCTTAACAAAAATGTTAAGAACCCCTTGAAAATCCATATACATTCTGTTTCATGGGATGCATACCACCTACCCACCCATTGCTATCCATTGCTGTTGAGTCAAGTCTGACTCACAGTGACCTATTAAGACAGAGTAGAACTGCCCATAGGGTTCCTACGACTATAAATCTTCACTGAAGCAGACTGCCTCATCTTTCTCCCACACAGGGGCTGGTGGGTTCGAATTGCTGACATTTCAGTTAGCCATAGAGCACATAACTGTTGTACCACATAACCAGGGATCCTTTCATGGGGTGCAGATTCCCTAAACTAAGTATCCCCAGGGCAGAGATTTTAACAGTTCAAGGCCTATCAGAGCTACCTGGGAGTCTTTTCCAAAATGTTTCTAACTTCCATACATGTCCTTCCCTATGATATTCTGATAGTCAGCCCCACCCACCACTTCACACTAAGAATCACTGCAGTGAGCCACTGTCCCAAGGTGAGCCGACCATATCCCTCAGATAGGCTGAAGTCGAGAAGAGAAGGGAGAACTATTGCTTCCATGGGTTGGCAGTCTTAGACAAAAAGCCAGAAATCACAGACATCTTCAATATATATGGCCAGAGAGGATTTCTGGATCATCCATATGAAGCCCAGGACAGAGTGGGGACCTGGCCAAGATCACACAGGAAGCTGTGGAACAGTTGAGCTGAGAGCCCATCTTCAGCTCATTTGGATTTGTGTCTTGGCTTCCAAGCCTTTTCAGCCTTGAGGAAGAAGGCTTGGGGAAATAGGACAGGGGACTAACTAGCCCTTTTGCAAAGCCTAGACCATAATAGGTTCTCACTTTACCCATCACAGTGATCGTTGGAGATTGGTATTACTATCCCTATTTTACAGATGAAGAAACCAAGAGTTGGAAGGATTAAATAATCTGTTCAGATCATCTAGTTAGGAAGGGGCCAAGCTAGGAGTCAAGCTCAGGTTTATTCGACTCCAAAGGTCCTTACTCCTACTACTGTTAACTTGCCTTTGGGTCACTGAACTTCTTTGAACCCATCTCCACATCTGCAAAATGGGAAGGGATTATTAATCCTAGCACAGTGATTAAGAGTTTGGACTCTAGAGAACCTGGTTTGAATCTTACTTTTGGAATTTACTATTTATATGACCTTGGGCACATTGTTTAACCCTCCTAAGTCTCGGCTCTTGCACCTGTGAGGCAGAGCAAATCATGGTCCCTGACACACAAGGCAGTTTTTTTTTTTTTAATTATGATTTGGTTGAAAATTTACAGAACAAATTCATTTTCCATACAATAGTTTATACACATTTTGTTTCATGACATTGATTGCAATTCCCATAATGTAACTTTCTCCATGTTGTTATTTTTTCCCTGTGTCCTTCTTTCCTATGCATTCCTGTTCTCTGAGCTATCTCCCTGTGGAAATACTGCCCTTCTTATCTTCCATGGTTGATTGTTCTAAGGAGTGTACCTACCTAGTATAATATGCCTCATATGGTTGTCTATTGTTTGGCTGGAAGCCATGGGGGTGAGTTCAATTCCAGAGCTGAAGGGTAACTAGGGGCCATGGTCTCAGGGGTTTCACCAGTCTCTATCAGACCAGTAAGCCTGGTCTTTTTTTTATGATTCTGAGTTTTGTTCCACCTTTTTCTCCCACTCTATCCAGGATCTCCTATTCTGATCATTTTCTGGGTGGTTGACAGTGGTAGCCAGGCACCATCTAGTTCTTCTGGTCTCATGGTCAAATAGGCTGAGGTTTGCATGGTACACTAGTACCTTGGACTAATTGTTTCCATGTGTCTTTGGTTTTCTTCATTCTTCTTTGCTCTGGACAATGAGAGACCCATCGTTGTATCTAGGTGGCCCTTGCAAGCTTTTAAGACCCAGTCGCTACTCACCAAAGATGGATGTAGAACAATGTTTTTGTATAGTATGTTATGCCAATTGAGCTTGATGTCCCCTGCAACCATGGTCCAGAGCCCACGAGTACACAAGGCAGTTTTAAAGATTAAATGAACTAGTGCATATGTAGTGCTCAATGCAGTGCCTGGTATGTGCTCAGTAGGGGTCAATTTTTATTTTTGTTTTAATTGTGGTTTGGGTGAAAGTTTGCAGAGGAAATCAGTTTTCCATTTGGTGATTTTTACACATTTTGTTATGTAACATTAGTTGCAATTTGTGTGTGATTATTTGTATTATTTTGGGATTGTTGTGAGATCAAGATGAGATAGCTGTATGGAAGATCCTTGCAAATGATTAAATGATATGAAAAAAGGTAACCTATTAACCAGTTGCCATCGAGTTGATTCAGACTCATGGTAATCCCTTGTGTCAGACTAGAACTGTTCTCCACTGGGGTTTTCAGTGGCTGGTTTGTCAGAAGTAGATCACCAGGCCTTTCTTCCAAGGGGCCTCTGGATGATTTGAACCTACAACATTTCAGTTAGCAGCTGAGCATATTAACCTGGGACATAAAAACGGGAGATATTATTAATATTATTAAGTTGAAGTTTTTTCTCCTAATGTCTCATGATGAGAATAGAAAATTATAAAATATACCCAAGAGTCAATACTTCCATCACCTAGACAGGATATAAGTTAAAGTTAAGGCAGTACTATTAAGGATTATTAAAGTCAAGAGAATTTTGCTTTTAAGCAGAAAAGGTTGGGAGACGCTCCACCTTTCTTTTGCCTGGGCCAAGAAAGAAATATTGAGGATCAGGGAGTACTTTCAGGTGCTGCATGAGTGAGCAAAGGGACAGAACTTATTTTAAGGGGTGGGTGGGAACTGTAAGGGGTGGTGTTCTAGACATGATTCAGCCCTTCTCCAGTCCATCACCTTGGGGTAGCAGCCCCTGCTTTTCAGAGGAGGAACAAAGGGTGCACAGTGCACTGAGAAGAGAACTGACACCCAGGCTCCCCATTCTCAGCTCTCTGGACCCCGCAACCCCTTGGGCTCAGGAGGGGGAGCAGATGTGAAGAGGTCAGGCAGCCTGGATATCTAAAGGGACCCAATTTCCACTCTTGCCTTCGACCAGGTGGCTTTGCCTTTAAAAGGCCTTGTTTTGTCCTTCCTTCCTGCTGCCTGCACCTTGCTTCTCTCAGCTTTAGCAGAACTGTCTATGTATCAGCTGTTCAGCCTGCATAACTGTTGCTGGTAGAAGCTGGCTGCTGAGAAGTCTTCACTAGCTATGTGGGATCCCATCACAGTGTATAAACCTGGGCCCAGCTTTTCTTTCTTTCTTTCTTTTTAAAATGCATTTTATTGAAATATAATTTATGTACACTGAAATACACAAAACTAAAGTGACATGGGTCAATGCATTTTTTTTTTAACTATTCCTTCCCTCCCCCGCCCCTCCCACCCCTGGCAACCAACAAAGAAAGTTTCCTTCCATATATAAACTTTTCCTTGACCCTCCACAACAACGAACTAATACTGTATTTGTCCTTCTGTGATTGACTTATTTCACTCAGCATAATGTCCTCCAAGTTCATCCATATTATGTGGTGTTTTGCAGACTGTATATTATTCTTTAGTACTGTGTAGCATTCCGTTATGTGTATGTACCATAGTTTGGTCATCCACTCTTCCACTATAAATCTTAGAGATAAGTCCCTTGCCAGATATGTAATTATCAGCAAATATGGATTTGTTGCTGTCATTTTTGTCATGTGCTTTTTCATTGTGTTGATTTCTTTGTTCCATATAATTTTCTATGCTGAGCTCATTTAGTTTATGAATTGTGTTAGCACTTCCTTCATTGCTATTGTTTTAGTATTTGCTGAATATTTATGCTGGTCCCCTTTTTGATGTGAAGGTTTTTCTTTGAGGTTACGCTGTGATTTATAGTTTTCTTCCCAAGTTTAGAACAGTGCCTTCTATCTTGTAGTTGTCTTGACTTCCCTACTATCTAGAAGTTCTGTAATGACACAGTTTTTTCCCTCTTTTTGGTTTGTAGTTGTCCTCATTTGTCAATTGATCTCTCTGCTTCCTTGTTTACAGTCTTGTAGGCTTATTTACTTTGGATACTTCCATAGCTGTGTTGATTTCTGGGTTATATCCTCATGTGTATTAATGGTCAGTTGTTGTTGGCTGTTGTTACTTCTCTGCCCAAAGGGCACCCTTTAGCATCTCTTGTAAGGTTGGTCTGGTTTTAACAAATTCCCTTAATTTCTGCTTATTGGAAATATCCTAATTTCACCATCATATCTGAGGGACAGTTTTGCTGGGTGCATAATTCTTAGTTGGAAATTTTTCTCCATCAGTGGTTTATATATACCATCCCACTGTCTTCTTGCCTGTATGGTTTCTGTTGAGAAATCTGAGCTTAGGCTTATTGGTTGCCCCTTGTAGGTAACTTTTTTTTTTTTTTCCTGTGCTTCTCTCATGATTCTTTTTTTGTCTTTGGTTTTGGTAAGTTTGATGTTATGTCTGAGTGATTTTCTTTTGGGTTCTATCCTGTTTGGGGTTCATTGGACTTCCTGAATGGATATATTCTCATCTTTCATCATACCAGGAAAATTCTCTTCCAACAAATCTTTGACAATTTTCTCTGTGGTTTTATTTGTGTCTTCCTGTTCTGGAATTCCAATTTCACATAGGTTATTCCTTTTGATGGTATCCCATGTGAACCTTAGGCTTTCTTTATTTTGCTTTTTTTTTTTTTTTTTTTTTTTTTTACTCCTTTCCAAAGAAGTGTTCAGGTATTTGCCTTCAATCTCCCTAATTCTGTCTTCCATTGATTCAATTCTGCTCCTTCCCATTCAATGTCTAATCTATTTCTGAAAGTTTAGTATTAATCCTCTGGATTTCTGTGTGTAGATTTTGTATCATTTCTAATTTTTCATTTATTTCGTCATTTTGTTCTTGTTTTGTCTTTTGAAATTGTTGTAGGGTTTTCTCTATGTTTTCCTTGATCTGTCTCTCAATTCATTGAAGATACCTAAATATAATTCTTTTGAATTCCTTATCAGGGAGTTCCAATGCTGTGTCTTCCTCAGGGATGTGTTTTGAGTCTGTATCCTGGTCCCTTGTTTCTCCTGCTTTATCTTGCTTCTTTGTGTGAACTGTGATGCTGTTTGACCCTGAGGCATTGTGATGTTTTTGTGTTTATATTTAATTGCTGATTGTATGTTGGAGTGACTTGCCCACAATTTTCGTTTTCTTTGTTTTGTTTGTATGTTATCTGTGGAAGCAGGGTACTGTGCTCCTCTATTCACTAGTTGACAGCACTTACACACTCACCACCTGTCTTCTTTCCTGTTTGTCAGCCTCTCATATGTCCCTGCCAACCTTGGAAAACAGAGCTTATCCTTAGATCCCTAGAATTCGAATGAGAATGCTATCACTTTAAAATTCAAAATGGTTGCCACTTGTAAAGATTCAAAATGGCTACGCCCTTGGTCACTTTAAATATCCAAAATGGCCACCGCTTGTAAATATCCAAAATGGCTGCTGGTATAAACATCAAAATGGCTGCACCCTCTGGACAGTGGAAAGTCAACAGCTCAGGTTGTCTCTCTCCTTGCTGTTTTCCTTCCTAGTCATAGGTCACCAGTGCAGTCGTCTCTACAGCCCTTGGTGACCAGGGCTGATCTTTAGGACAATTCACAGGTCCCAGCACCACTTGAAACTATTCAGGTTGTTGGTCCTGTCAGAGTAGCTGACAGTCCACAGCTCCAACTGTCTCCATACTCACTGTTTTCATTCAGGTTTTTCCACTAGGTGGTGTCTAATCCACTTCTGTATAGTTCCTTTCAAAGTTCAGGGCTCTGGGATTATCTTCTGTATCTCTGTCAATTGGTTTTTCTTTTCTTTGTTGAAGAGGGTCTGTGTTGCTTGTCTGCCTATTCTTCCATCTTAACTGGAAGTGGGCCCGGCTTTTCCCTGGGAACTTGTTGTCCCAGGACTCTGTCTTGCTTCAGGGCTCCTCTTAGAACCAGAAAGAATCTTCTGTGACCCCTGGAGAAACTACATTCCCTAAGCCTTTTCTTGCTGAGTTTAATGTACTTCATAGACCTAATCTCCTTCAAAGTAATAATAGCATTGACTCTGGGCTGCCCCAGGCATGTGAAGTCATTTAATCCTGACAACCACCTAGTGAGGGAAATCCTGCCACTCTCACTCTCCAAGAGGTGATCACCTTTGGACAAACTTGGCACCCACTTCTAGAACTTTTGTGACCATGCAGATCTAGGAGAATCCTAACAACAAAAGTCCACTGTGTGGTCAAACATCTTATGTTTATATATATCTAGTCCTCATGTTGATTTTGCAAGTAGGCAGATAGGTTTCTTACATGAGGAAATTTCAGAGGCTAAGGAACTTGCCTAAGCTTGTACAGCTAATAAGTAGCAGTACCAGAATGGTTCCAAAGCCCTTGCTTGCACCATGAATCCACAGGGTAGGGTCTGCAGAAGGCTTGTTTGGCCTTTCCTTTGGGGTTATAGCTACCTGGGCAGTAATCCCACCACCTCACCTGCTGTTTGTGGTACATCTGGTACTACCAACCATGGAGCTTTTGCAACACTTTCTTGAAGATGGTGCGAGGTGGTGTGTGGCCTCTGGCCTGCTCCTGCAGAGGAGGATTACTGGGCAGTAATCCCATAACCTGGCACCATGGGCTATGTCTTCAGGGCAGCAGCCACTGAGCAGACTTCAGAAGTGTCTTAAGCTCCTCCACCATGGTTATTTCAAGAGGAGTGGGACTGGGGAAGGGGGTACCCTAGTCACTGGCGTCAGTATTAACTGCTTCCTTCCCTGCCTAGTCTTGGCATAAGTCCTGCTTCCGATGTGCCAAGTGTGGCAAAGGCCTTGAGTCAACTACCCTGGCAGACAAGGATGGCGAGATTTACTGCAAAGGTGAGTGGTTTCATTTCTAGTTGTGGGGAACAGGGGGATCGAGGGAGTGGAGGAGCTAAGTGACTACATACACCCTTGCTAAATGTAAATTAATTATATTTGAAATCAATTCCAGAGCATCTAGTATGACCTCTCTATTATACAGATGAGGAAATGGAGACCAAGAGAGAACATGACTTGGCCAAGGTCACATGGCAAATTGGGGCAGAGATGGAGCTAGAACCTGGATTTCTAACTCCCAGTCCAGTGTTTATGTAGCAGATAATGCTTCTCCTATAATTTCAATGGCAGGGGAAATGAATAAAGTGTGGATTAGCACTGGGGGTGTTATAGAGAATGAGGGGGCACTGGAGGCCTCTCCTCCAGAGTTCTTGCCAGGCACTAAACCAAAAAAAAAAAACCAAACTCACTGCCCTTGAGTCGGATCTGATTCATAGCGACCCCTCCTTGGGTTTCTGAGGCAGCATCACTATGAAAGTAGATTGCCCAACCTTCCTTCCGAGGAGTGGCTGGTGGGTTTGAACTGCCAGCCTTCTGGTTAGCAGTAAAATGCCTCAGGCACTACACCACCAGAACTCCCTGCCAGGCACTAGGGGTGGGTATCTTAAGTGGGAGGGGAGAGATATGTCTGGGGAAGGAGGAGCATGTACTTACCCCTCTTCTCTCTCTACAGGATGCTATGCTAAAAACTTCGGGCCCAAGGGCTTTGGCTTTGGGCAAGGAGCTGGGGCCTTGGTCCACTCTGAGTGATGCCACCATTGCCTGATGTCCCCTGCCCACTCAGTGCTTTGCATCTCCATCCCTTTCCCAGCAGCCTCAGAAACCTTTAGGATTCTTTCTCCCTCCTTAGCCCTGTCATATATCACTAATGACTTGAACTTGGCCCTCTGGCTCCCTTTGGTTCCAGTGTCTTCCTAAGGCCTTAGCACCACCAAGGAGCTCCCCCTGCTGGAGATCTAATGACATCACCAGCAGGAGACCTCAGTGTTTCTGGGTCTAGGTAAGACCAGGTCCTCTCCCCATGCCCTGTCCACAGACCTCTGTTCTTAGTCTCATAGGCTGAATGGCCATCATCAACTGGCCAAGATACCTGAGCCCCATCTTGGAGCCCAGGGGAGCAGCAGCAACAGGGCCAGAAAAGGAGGAAAGCAGGACCAAGACAGGGCAGGGGAGGTATATGGTTGATTGAATTCTTGAGGTTCTCCTATGCTGGAAAGAGGGATGGCTTTTTGGTATCCCTCAGAACATGTCTAGGAGTTCTACACTAGATAGTGACTAGGGGGAGGGAGAGAAGGTACAGACAGGGTCATGGACCATAGAAGCCACGTGTTCCTCCAGGCCCCTCGCCTTTGAGTCCTGTGGAACTAGAGTCACCCCCACCACTACCACCTTGGGGTTGGAGGTGACAACTTAGGTCTGAGGTCCCCAAAGTCAGGATATCATCTGACCCCTCTAGGCATCTACTTTCGTCAGGGGTTCCTAATGAAACACCTGCAACACACATTCATCTTTATCAGTGGTCCAAACTTTAGGGTAGATAGATCTGACTGTAACCCTAGAGTTGGCAGCTCTATTCTGTCCCAGCACAGCCCAGGCTAGTGCTCTGTTCTTACATGCCTGCTTGACACTCAGATGGGGGGAGGGGGGCTGCAGCCACAGCCTCATCTTCATCTGAACACCCCTTCCCTCGGCCACCAGCCCTCAGGGCCTTCCTGCCAACCAAGGTCCTTGCCCCTTCCGCTCCACACATATCCAGGGACCCTTCTTTGGCCACATCACCCCATGCCTTCTAGGCCCCAGTGCAGGAGCAGCAGGAGGAAGGAGGATGGGCTGGGCTTGTTGCTCCCAGTGACTGAGTGGACAAGACTCCATGGAGCTGTCGACTGAAAGCCTGTGGGCAGGGGCTGTATTCAAGCTGACTTCTCATTTGATCAATAAAGCTGTTTAGAAAAGAACTCTGGTGTCCTGATCTATGAGAGCACTGCCACTCCTCTGGGGCTGGGAGAGAACTTGATCAGAGCAATCAAATTAGCAGGAGGCCTGGTGCCATATAAATCAGGGCAGTTTTTTCCCCTGATTTCTCTAAGGACTGTTATTTTCTGTATCAGTTCTAACTGAAACACATTGTTTTAAGTAACCCAACCAACTCAAATCCCCCTGCCTTGCCCTCTGTGTCCCCCACCCCCACGACTGGGCCTGGGAATCTCATGGCTTTGGAATTTGAGGGGCTCAGAACTTCTCCCAGTTGGAAAGCCCCAAAGCTAGATGGAAGCTCAGCCAGAGGAACTTTCATGTCAAATCCAGAAAGCTCCCTTCTGCTTAGGGACGTGTGAGGGTGGGGTAGAGGGGCCTGTCACAGCAGCTGCACTGGTTAGGCCCATACAGCCGTGGAAGGCTGAACTTTTTGGAAAGGGGCTTATCATCTTAGGGATGTCTGTTGGGTCCCTTGGGGCATCTCTGCTTCAGCCCTACTTGAAAATATGCCCATAATGTCAACGTACAAAACAACAATAAGCAGATGTTCTAATGACAAGGCCTCATGTACATAATATCCAGATAACCAGGTCCAAGAGTGGCCTTAGACCCATCCCTCGGCACTGGGAATGGGACATAAACATGTATAAGATCAACAGCCTAAAGCAATATGTAAGAGCAAAACCCAAAAAAACCAAACCCACTGCCATGGAGTAGATTCTGACTCATAGTGACCCCCACTGGTATTCCGAGGTGGTAAATCTTTATGGAAGTTGAACCACTAACCGTTTGGTTAGCAGATGCCTTAGGCACTGTGCTACCAGAGCTCTGGTAGATAAGTGCAAAGTGACGGGTCAAAGGGCTGTGGGAGTTTAGTGGGCAGAGCTGTGAGGTCCCCAGGTGGGGCCGAAGTCTCTTTCATCTTGGTAAGCCCTCTAGGAGCCCTGGTGGTGCAACTGTTAAGTGCTCAGCTGCTATTCAAAAGGATGGCAGTTTGAATCCACCCAGCAGCTCTGCAGGAGAAAGACCTCATGATCTGCTTCCTTGAAAGATTACAGCCAAGAAAATCCTATGAGGCAGTTCTATTCTGTCACATGGGGTCACTTTGAGTTGTAATTGATTCGACTGAACCTAACAACTAGCTCCAGCACAAAGCCACGGGGAGATGCTCCCCGGAGGGTTTGTGCAGCAGGGAGGATGAGTGGGACTCAAGAAGTGACAGCTGGTTCTTCAATTCTGCAAACAGATTATTGCGCTACTCTGGGAGGGCCCTTCCAGAAGGGCCCAAAGGCAAGGTCAGGATGGGAGCATTTGGGGCTTAAAATTGGAGACAGGCTGCCCTCTGTTGTCTGCAAAGGCGGTCCTCTGGGCGCGCCATCAAAATGACATTCACTCAGCTTCTCTTACACTAGCTGTCCTGCTTTGGGACCATCGGACTTCCAGAGCAACCCCATAGTGGGAGGGGGCCGGGGACACACCTCTAGGGAGTAAAACTGTCCTAAAAGCAGACTCGTCGGCACATAACAACAACAAAAGCAGAAAGTTGTAAACCAGTTGCGCCTGGGGCCAGTGAGGGGCGGGGCTGGGGGCGGAGCGAGGAGGGGTGGGGCCCAGTATCCGCAGTCGAGGCGATTGCACTATGCCGGGAAACAGCAGGTGGTGCTGTGCGGTCGGGGCAAACAGCAGGCACTCCGTTTCCTAGCCTCTCACACCGTCTTGGTCTCCAGATGGGCCCTTCAAACCCACTTAGTGCGCGCGCGCGCACGCATCTAACCCTTGATAATGGCCTCCCTTTAGAATACGTCCATTCTAATAGAGACCTCTGGTATACCAAACTTTGGTGTTGCGCCAAAGGAAGACAGCAAAGATCTTTGTGCCCATTCAGGTGTTTCTTTTTTTAGTTTCTGTGCTTTCCCAGCGAGGTATCCAGCGGGGCCTCCGGTGAGTGCCTTTGGCGTGAGCATTGCCAGTCGCGGGAGTGGCTGAGGCTTAGACTCCTAAAATGTTATGAGAAAGAGCTGCGTCTCCGATGGGAGGCAGGCTCAGCCTTCTCAAGCCTCCCTCTAGCAGCCCTAGCACCCAGTCTATGTCACCTAAGAGGCTGGGGAGGAAGAGACGGATCAAAAGGAACATGACTATGGGGTTAGGGCAGGAATGGGAGAGGATTAGAGCTCTGATGGTTAAGTGCAGTGGTTAAGGCATTTGGCTGCTAATCATAAGGTCAGTGGTTCAAACTTATCAATTGCTCCCAGAAAGAAAGATGAGGCAATCTGCTTCGGTAAAGATTTACAGCCTTGAAACTGTGGGGGGTTACTGTGGGTTGGAATCCACTGTGGGGGTCACTGTGGGTTGGAATCCACTCCATGGCAGTGATTTCTTCTTCTTCTTCTATTAGACTTTGTTGTTGTTGTTGTTAAATGCTGTCGAGTGGGCCCCGACTCATAGCGACCCCTCCTTGGGTTTCCGAGGCAGTATCAATACGGAAGTAGGATTGCCCAACCTTCCTTCCGAGGAGTGGCTGGTGGGTTTGAACCGCCAGCCGTCTGGTTAGCAGGCAAGTGTCTTAGCCACTATGCTACCAGAGCTCCCTTTATTAGACGAGGCATCCCTATATGAACCAAACCAAACCCACTACCATCAAGTGGATTCCTACTCATAGGGACTGTACAGGACAGAGTAGAACTTCCCCTCATCAAGAACACAGAAATTCCTTTGAAGGAGGCAGAAACTCAGGAGGTCTTGGTCCCTAGACCTAGATCAGGTGAGGGTGGTGGAGGCTAGTGGAGCAGGACACTAGAAACCTCAGATATCAACTACTGCAGGGTTCCCACTCCCTGGTTATTATGAGAATCAGCAGGTAGCCTTTTGAAGTGGCTTCCCAGCCCCACCCCTTGAAATTCTGATTCATTAGGCCTGGGTGGGGTCTGGGGGAATCTGTATTCTAAAAACGTCCTCAGGTGATTCTGATGCTCAGTCAGGTTTGAGGACTGAGCCAACTCCCAGCCAGCTTAGACCTCCACCCTGCAGCTTGCCACCAGCCCACAGCCCCACCCGACAGCTGGTGCCGCCTCTAAACAGTTCTAATGATTAGAGAGGACTTCCTGGAACTTCCTATTTCTGTCCCCTAGAGTCATCCAGAACAGGTCTAATCCCTCTTCTGTGTGACAGCCCTTCAAAGATGTGAAGACAGCTGCCTGCCCTGTGTACCTCCTTCTCTCCTGGATAGACAGCCCCTGGCCTGTCACAGCAGGTGCAAAGGAGAACAGTGAAGCCATTCCAGCATTGGAAGAAGAAAAGCACAGCTAGGGGCTGGGGGTCCTAGGTGGACTGTCCAGGGGCCAGAGAAGCACACTGGGGGCTTGCAGTAAGTCAGTGGGCAAAACAAGCAGCTCCCTCTGAGAAAGACCTTCACCTTGTCTGGAGCTCAGGTCCCCAGGCCCCAGCCTCCCTGTTTTGGATATTTTGGGGGCATCATACATCCCTTTTGTGTACTTTACTACATGCCTGTTCAAAGACCTTAAGTGACTTCATTTATTTAATCCTTGAAGTAACCTATGAGGTAGGAGGTATACGTTTACAAACGGTCAAGCTGAAACCAAGTACACAAGAACAATTCAGGAACTTGCCCAAGGTTCAAATGGCACAAGCAGGATATAAACAGAGACAGCTGGGACCAGACCCCATTCCCTTCACTGCTGTTCCCAACACTCTCCTATTTAGAAGAAACTGCCATATGCCAGGGGCTGTGAAGAGCAATGCTAGACAGTGAAATCGAG